TGTGAGAAAATGCCAGAATCATGGAGGCACAGTATTTTGACGTCAATGCACAAAATGAAAGGGGACATGCCCGCCTGTGAAAACTACTGGGGAATTGAACTGCATAGTTACACCGTGAAGATATATGAGAGGGTGCTGAACAAAAGACTGAGGGAGGAGGTGGGCATCACTAAGAACCAATATGGATTTATGTCAGGCAGATCAACCACTAATGCCATCTTTGCTTTAAGACCAGTCTTTGATACATACAGAGAAGGCAAACAAAACATTCATATAGTGTTCCTAAGCCTGGAGAAAGCCTATGACCGAATCCTGAGGCAAGCGATCTGGTGAAACATGAGAAGGAAGCTGATGTCAGAAAAATATATCGGGCTAGCCAAAGACATGTACGACAGAGTGACAGTGATAGTTTGAAGCATATGCGGCGAAAGCGAAGAGCTCCCTGTACGAGTAGGTGTCCATCAAGGATCCTCACTGAGTTCTTTTCGGTTTTCGATGGCGACAAACGCGAACTGAGGATCTGTAGGAACCAGCCTCATAATGCGTGCTCTATGCAGATGACATTGTGCTATGTAGTCAGTGCAGAGAAGATGTAGATTCAAAAACCGAGGCATGGAGAATAGCCCTTGAAAAGAATGGTCTTCGACTCAGCAAATGCAAGTCAAGATATGACGGGTTATTTCAGTGAAGAAAACAGGTTGAAATCCGTCAAAGTAGCGGAGTTTGCTGCCTGAAACCCAAGAATTTAACTACCTTGGTTTCATTCTGCAAGTTAATGAGGAAATCGACAGCGAGGCAAGAAATCGGTCGAAAAAAGATTGGCTCAAATGGAGAGGAGCGAGCGGAGTACTGTGCGTCAAGCATTCCCATCAGACTGACTGGGAAGGTGTACAGAACGGTAGTAAGACCGGTGCTTCTGTACAGAGTTGAATGTTTGATTACTCTGAAGAGACACGAACAACAGCTAAACTCGGTAGAAAGGCGAATGCTCAGATGGATGTGTGGTGTAAGCAGAAAGGGCCGCATCCAAAACAGCTTCATAAAAGGTACTGTAGAGATAACACCAATTTCAGAAAATCTTATCGAAAGCAGGCTACGTTATTTCGATCACGTGATAAGAAGACACACTGGGTACGTTGGAAATGTGGTCCAAGCACTGACACTAACATGGAAGCAAAGAAGGGGAAGACAAAAGAAATGGTGACGTGATGTTGGTC